TTTATTGTTAATGCAAAAAAATTATAAGTTTTATATTGAGTGAAAAAGTGTGCGGATACTTTTGTCCACCCTCTGTAGAAAGAAACTTTTCAATATAAGATTATATTGTATAATAAAGTGAATTTTATTATATTAGAACCTTTGCAATAGAAAAGAAGGAAATAGCTGGAAAAAATAAAAAATGAGTTAATGCTAAATTTGAACATATTTTGACCTAAAAATCTTATTTGCCATATAAAAGTAAAATTGATTTTTTCCCGGCAGTACTCTTGCAAAGGTTCCATATGTTTTAGAGAAGCGTTTTCTAATGGTATAATAATTTTTAATTATAATGGTCTAACTATATAAGGTTACAGCATTCAGTAATTCAGTATTACAAAATTAATAAGTTATCCATGTTGTCTATTTATGGCAAAAAATTTTATACCCATAATGAATACCCGGATATATTAATAGTGGGCTTTTATAAAGGGGATCTTTAAGCGGTAAGCATTTTTTTTTATCTTGGAATGAATTATGTTGATCCTTTTTGTTTCAATATAGCATTTAAACTGTCAAACTTTTTCGGCCACCTCTTAATATTAAAGTTTAACATGGACAGGAAGATGGTTAATATAGTTACACAATCAAATTAAAATCCTTTTTTTTTTTTTTGAGATTAATATGTCTTTTAATGGACAAGGAATCCAATTATTTCCCAATAATCACACACCATTTGAGTTTGAAAGTAAAGATATTTCTTCTTTAAGAACTTTAATTATTGATAATTATGATTCTTATACTTTTAATTTGTTACAACTTTGGGGCGGTGAAACAAACAATGAAAATGTAGTTGTTATTCGAAACGATCAATTTTCTTGGTATAATTTAAGCGACATTTTTAATTATTTAAATAATATATTTTATATATACTTATAAATCTCTTTTTAATAGGAACGACTTTAAGGAGAATATACTTCCATATTTTGATAATATTATAATATCACCTGGGCCAGGTAGTCCAGTAACCCCTTCCGTATGAAATTCTCTCTAAAAATTACTAAGAAAATATGAATCATCCAATCATATTAACTGAGCAATCTGTATTTATCTTAGGATTTTGGAATCTGTACCAAAGTGTTGGAAGAATTAGATCTTCCCATACTTGGTGTATGTTTAGGACATCAAGGAATAGGTGCTAGGTTTGGCGGTCAGGTATTTATAGGAAATAATTTTGCATATTTCAATTGTTGTTACTAATAATAACTTTTCCTATTTATAGTTAACAAATGCAAAAACGATTATGCATGGAAGATTAAGTTTAGTTTATCATGAAGAGACTTTTGATTCCATGTCTTTATATTATGGAATTCCAAATCCTTTTTGGGCTGTTAGATATCATAGTTTGGTTGTCGATAATAAAGGTTTACCACCTGAATTGATCATTTCGGCTTGGTGTTCTGATGAGAATGGTTCAATAACACCCCCTTTCAAGGAGTCTAGTACAATTATGGGTCTGAATCATATTAGTAAACCTATTTACGGTCTTCAATTCCATCCTGAGGCATGATTTGTTAATTAATTTTGTGAATTTATGAATTTTTTTATTCTATTTTAATCAAATTTTTTTTTAAAAAAATACATATATCGTTTTTATTTAGTCAATTTGTACCGAATATGGATATCAAATGCTTAGAAATTTTCAAATGATTTCTAAAACATTTTTAGAAAAGGTTTGAATATTTGGAAATAAAAAAAAAAAGTAATTTTTACTTTTTTTTTTAAAAAAAAATTAATTGATTGAATTTTTAATTATTGAATTTTTAGCGTGAGGTAAAGTTTCCTCGTAGCAAAATTCCGTCAAATATTTTGTCTCATTCAGTTTTATCAAAAAATTCGCATGTCTTTAAACCTTTATCATCAGAGAATTCTACCAGATACTGTTTGATATTAAAGAAATTGAAAAAGGAATTATGGATTGAATCTCATTTAGCATTTCAACATATTGTAGCAGACGATAAATCCGCAGCCGGAACATGGTGGTTGGATAGTGCGAGGGTATAAAAATTATCGTTATCTTTTATAAAGTTTATTATATATATATATATAAAATTAACTTTTTACTCACATTACCTTAGCAACCTGATCCAGTCAATAGATTTTCATTTATGGGATCAACACCAGCACTTTCCAATTCATTTTCAATATCTTATTCAACCCTTGGGAAAAAACTTTTAATCACATGCTCAAATGGATCTGTAATTGAAAAAAAGTTGACAGATCATCAAACATTTTGGGATTGGATGTCAAATACTATAAATTATTTTAATCAACATATGGATAGTTTAAGGATATTGCATGATGATGGAACCTTACATGATGTTAAAGAACGAAAAATCCCCTTTGATTTTAGATTGGGAATGGTTGGCTATTTTGGTTATGAGATGAAAAGGGAATCATTATCAGGTTATGCAATTCCAACAAATCAACACCTTTCTCAATCTTCTAATATACCAGATTCTGCATTCATCTTTACAACTCAGGCGATCATATTTGATCATTTAGAAAGAGAGATATGGTTATCAGGATTAGTTCGACTTGGAGAAAACAAAAGTCCTAAGAAATTTGATTTTGTAGAAAATGAGTTGGGAATGTATCCAGGACGTTTGTTTGATGCTTATAAATCGTGGGTTACCTCTATAGAGAAGCAATTATGTAGTATCAATAGTTTCATGTCTAAATCTAATCAAATTCCACTTAAGAACAATAATCGGAATGAGAAATTATCCTCTTCAATTCCAAACATCCCTTTTACACCCGATATGAAACGAGATGCTTACGTAAAAGCAATCGAAAAAGCACGTTCATATATATATAAAGGACAAAGTTATGAATTATGCTTAACTACACAATTTAGAACCAATTTTCCGAAAAAATTAGATTATGATTTGGTTGAACTTTATAAACGCATTAGATCATTCAATCCAGCACCCTTTTCCGCTTTATTATATTTTTCAACTGAAGACATATGTATATTAAGTTCGTCACCTGAGAAATTTGTACACATTGATAACGAAGGAATTATGGAAATGAAACCTATTAAGGGAACCGTTGCAAGGGCAAAGGGATGTTTTTGTTTAAACGTTGAAGAATGCGATCAAGGAACTTCATGTGAAGCAGGGCGAAAGAAGGAAGACATGAAAAGAATGAGTCGTCTTAAAGATGATGTTAAAGAACGTTCAGAAAATTTAATGGTAAACTTTTAGATGAAGTGATCAAAATTTTTTAACTATCAAATTTGAATAACATTTATTTTACTATTATTTTTAGATTGTGGATTTGATTCGTAATGATTTAATACAATTATGTCAACCTAATACAGTACAGGTTCCATACTTAATGAAAGTTGAGTCATATGAGACTGTACATCAGCTCGTAACTACGGTTAGAGGACAGCTAAGGGAAGGTTTAGATTGTGTTAAGGCTATACAAGGATGTTTTCCCCCGGGCTCGATGACAGGTGCACCTAAATTGAGAGCCGTTCAGTTATTAGATGAATTAGAACAACACAACACAAGAGGTGTTTATTCCGGATGTTTAGGTTATATTTCTTTGCAAGATGGAAGTGGAAAGGGGAGAGGTACTTCTCACTTCAGTGTTGTTATTAGAACAGCCATTGTTTGTGGTGAAACAGGTGAAATATCAGTTGGGGCAGGTGGAGCTATTGTTTACCTTTCAAATGCTGAATCTGAATGGGACGAAGTTGTATTAAAATCCCAATCTGTCATTCCTAGGTAAGAATTATTTTAAATGATAATTGTCGTTACTTTGAAAACATTATTCAAACAAATTTGTTTTACAATCTACATTAGTATATTGGAATACATAAAGAAGACCTATTAATGAATATAACATTATTAGATAATATATAATATAATAACAAAACTTGCTTTTATAATTTAATAAATCATCATGCTAGAATCAAAAATTTTACGAATTTGGTTATCTTTGTTATCAGAATGATTTTATATGATTTTTTACGGATGATCACGGCATTAAAAAGCCACACGCTAAGCAATACATCCATAAATATTTCTAATTCAGATGTGCCGCAGTAAACGAGTAAAAGAGTATTTTTCAACACATTGTTATAGTCATGCTCAAATTTCCTCTCCATGTTTCCTTGATCATTTTTTTTTTGAACGAACGGATTCAATCCGCAGAGGGATGAAACAAATTGATTTTTTTGTTCCGACAATTAAGTTCATGACATCATTAGTTTAGTGCGACCGGAAAATTTAAAGTTTGTTCCGTCATGCAGTATCTAGTGTAACAGCAATTCTATGATAAATCCGGAAAAAAAGGTGCATTATTTGAACTTTACAAGACGAACCTTCAACTTCGTCGAACGAAAAAAAAAAAAATTATTTTTTTTTTTAAAGAAAAGATATTTATAAAGGTTTTGTTTCATCGGAGTATTTACTCCAAAAAAGTTATGAAATAATGTTGAAAAGAGTATTATTTTTCTTTTTACTGGGTATTCTTTGTTTAACCTTGACCAAGGCAGATCGTATTAAATCGGATCGTTGGGGTTTCGAACATGCTCCAGCCAACTTCTTTTATTTTAAAAATAGTGACGTAAGTATTTTCATATATTCTGACTTATTTTTTAATTATTTTTTTTTTTTGAAAAAATGTCCTTGAGGATTATTAATTCGTTATATTTATTTTTAATAATAATTAATTAAATTTACCCATGATAAAATTAATTGAAAAAAAAAGTCACTTTTATATCTTGATGTAAGCGGTAATGTCTGGAGATCAAATGATGCGGGCGTTATGTGGGACCCGATTAACGATATTCCAAAGAATAGCGCTACCGCTTTATATGAACATCCTTTCGATAATAATAAGGTATATAGACCTTAAAATAAATAAATTAAATTAATTAGGATCTAATGATCATAAATCGGGACTAATGTCACTTTGTTATTATCTAGGCTTATGTTCTTACACGTTACCTTAAACATTATAAAACATCTGATAAAGGGGCTAATTGGCAGGAATTTACAACAGAAATCCAACCAGCAAGAAATGATAGGGCTTTGTCCTTTCATGCTCATAGAGACGGTAACATATTATTTAAAGGAAGTAAATGTGTTGCTATGTTTGAATGCATAGATGTGGTTAGTGTTATAGAAATAAATATTTGTAATTGATAATTTTTTTTAAAAATATATATATATATAATAACATAAATATCATATTGAACATACGATTAGACTTATTACACTACAGACGGATTTGATACTTCACCAAAATTACTTCATGAAAATATTAATAATTGTATATGGGCTCATTCTAATGGGGATTTTGATGAGACGCCCGAGCAAACAATTTACTGTATTTATTATCAAGGGACTGGATCATTGAGAAAACCAAGTGATTACCGTTTAACCCAATCTGAAGATTTTTTTGAAAACTGGGAATATGTTAATTTTAATTCTGATGGTGATGTCAGTGGCGTCATAGGTCTTGGAACAATTAAAAAATATTTGGTTGCAGCTGTAAAAGATATCAATTCTTTAGATATGAAAATGTATGTATCCACAGATGGGCTAAAATGGACTAGAGCACTTTTCCCAAATAATGAAGGACCAACTCATAAACATGCAGAAGAAAATGCATATACTATACTAGAATCATCTACAAGTCATTTGGTAGTTGATCTACTTTCATCAGATTCTCATAATACAGGAAACTTGTTTTTCTCAAATTCTGATGGAACTTCTTTTGTCAATCGTTTGAAATATACAAATCGAAACAACAAAGGTTTTGTGGATTTTGAAGCTGTTCAAGGTGTTGGTGGAATTTTACTCGCAAATATTGTGAGTAATCATCAAGATGTCGACAAAGGAAGTGCCATAGCGAAAAAAATACAGTCAATGATTTCTTTTGATGACGGTTCTTCATGGAATTTTATTAAACCTCCAGAAAAAAGTTTAGACGGTATCGATTTCCAATGTGATAGTAAGAAAGACTGGCAAAATGGAAAATGTTCGTTACATTTACATTCAATTACAACCGCTCGTAATATTGGTCATATTTATTCAGCTGGTGCAGCGCCAGGTGTTTTAATGGGAGTTGGAAATGTAGGATCATATCTCCTTCCTTATGGGCTTTGTGATACCTTTCTTTCTTATGATGGAGGATTGACGTGGAGAGTCGTCAGACTCGGTGCTCATTTGTATGAATTTGGTGATTCTGGATCTATTATAGTTATCGTTGATAATGAACAGCCAACAGATCGTATTTTGTATAGTTATGATCGTGGTGAAAATTGGTACGTTTAAGCATGATCAATTTTTTCATTCGTGCTAGTCAGATTCATTGATAATTATAAATCTTTTATAGGAACGAACATCTTTTAAAGGATAATATTCGTGCAAGATTTCTTACAACGGATCCCGATTCGACAACAAAGAAATTCCTCCTTTTTGGTTCAATTATATCGGATCATGATAGTAATAATCTATACTACATGTTCTACTTAGATTTCTCGAATTTATTTGATAGAAATTGCAATGATAACGATTTCGAAAATTGGGTCGCGAGAAATTTGGACACTGGCCCTGATTGTTTAATGGGTAAAAGGGTAAGTTGTTAAAGCTATTTCAATTTAAAGTGACCTTTTTAAATCTAAATTATTCGGAAATTTTTTAGTCATCTTATCGTCGTCGTAAAAAAGATGCCAATTGTTTCGTTTCGAATGAATTCGAAAAACCTATTCCAAATGAAGATTTATGTCCCTGTACAGAAGAAGATTTTGAATGGTAATCTAAAATAATTTTGATTTCTACATTATATTTATTCTTGTAAACTCATTTTAATTCAACGTTACTTTAGTGATTTCAACTACAGTCTTGATGAAGAAACCAACAAATGTACACTTTCGGGAACTGAACGTATTCCTAAAGGAGAATGTAAAGATGGCCAAGAAAAATATTTGGGATCTTCAGGCTATCGTAAAATTCCAGGAAACATGTGTGACCCTGAGAAACCAGGATCAATAGATCGTGCTACCCCAACTGAAAAATCATGTTCAGAAGGTAAATAACTATTTAATTTATTAAAATGAGTAACAAAAATTATAATTTATTAATTCATTTTCCAAACGTACTTTCTAGGTCAGTCAGATGGTGAAGTTTCACATAAAACTCTTGAAGAAGATTTCGATTTTTATTTCTTTTTCAATAATTCTCAAGTAAAAATTTTTTACCTTTATGTATTAGTATATTATTAAACCTTGATTAATTTTAATCGTATTAATTTTTTTTCTCCAACTTTCAAGGTGTTATTTGCCAAGACAACTGATGGCAAAATTAAAAGAAGTAATGATGGTGGTACTAATTGGTCAAATGTCCTTGATGATGCCGGTATTATTACGCATATGTTCTTACATGATCACGACGAAAATCGGGTAACTTTTTTTTTTTTAAAAAAAAAAACACACTACTACTCAATGTAATCAAACATCATTTATTAATTTATTTATTTATTTTAAATATAAGGCGTATTTTTTCTCCGATCAAAATGTTATGTGGTATACTACAGATCGCGGAGAAACTTTTGACAAAACTAAACTTCTTTCTGAGCCCAACAAACTTAATCTTCCATTACTTGATTTCCATCCAAAGAACCCTGATTGGTTACTATTTATGGCTAGTACTTCATGCCCTAGATGTCATTCAATAACCTATTTCTCTAAAGATAATGGAAAAACATGGGATGAAATTGAAACTTGGGCACAAAAATGTATTTTTGGAGAAGATACAAATTTTCCAATAGATGATAATACAATTTTTTGTTCTTCTTACAAAAATAAACAGTCAAAAACCACACAAGATGAATTAGGTGGTAGATCTTCAGTTACAAATCCTTTACAACTTGTCAAGTTGAAAACTGATGGTAGTGCAAAGGTGGTTTTATTAACTGACAATGTCGTTGAATTTTTCATCTTTAATGAATTTATGGCTGTTGCTACGGTTGGTTAACGTTGATTTTTTTACGAGTATATTTTTAAGATTAAAATCTTTTTCTTTTTTAAAAAAAAAGTAAACAATTCTTTTTTTTTAATTTAGGAAGAACTTGGGCAATTGAATCTACGTATTTCAAAGGATGGAGATACTTTCAATGAAGCAATTTTCCCACCAGATATAGGTGTAGACAAACAAGTAAGTTTGATATTTAAATATTGTTCGATGAAAAATGCTTAATTAAAATATAAATGTTTAAATAAATAGGCATATACTATTCTTCAATCAACTACCGGATCTGTGTTCCTTGATGCATACAAATCTATCAATTATGGATCCGAGTATGGTTCATTGTTTAAATCTAACTCAAAAGGAACCGCCTTCGATAAAATCCTTGATAACACCAACCGCAATAATAGAGGAAATGTGGATTTCGAAAAAGTTCAAGGATTAGATGGAATTATTCTCGCTAATATAGTTGATAATGTTAATGAACTTGGTGGTGGCTCCAAGAAAATAATAAAGACATTGATTAGTTATGATGATGGTAGGTATTTTAATATTTAGTTTAAAGGTTTAACATCTTTTATTAAATTTTATTTTCATTTCAGGTTCTCACTGGAAACCTTTGAAACATAATGGGGTTTGTAAATTTCATCTAATTCAGAAGTTATTCTCTTATATTTTTAATTCTAAATTACATCTACTTTTTTTAAAAAAAAAAAATTTTCTCAGGATCGTCTTCATTTACATAGTCGTACTGATATTCTTGGACCAGGTAGTGTATATAGTGCCTCACCTGCGATCGGCCTTTTGATTGGAGTTGGCAATGTTGGAGATCACCTTTTGCCATACACCGAATGTAACACGTTTATGAGTCGCGACGGTGGTAGAAATTGGAAAGAAATACGACGTGGAGAAAGTTTACATGCATATGGTGACCGAGGGACAATTATTGTTGTGGTAGATGATGAAGCACCCACAGATCACGTATTGTAAGTTAAACTTTTATAGCTTAATATTATTTCTTTAATAAAATAATTGTTATTTTCTCTAAAGAGAAATTAACATCTTTTTTTTTTTTTACCTATATAGGTATAGTTGGAATTACGGGAAAGATTGGAACAAATATATATTCTCATCAACTCCTGTCCGAGTTAAATTTCTTACAAATTCAAATTCCAATGGTATGAAATTCTTGTTACTTGGATACACTGTACCAGCCAATAAAGTTCGACCAGTTACTGTTACCATTGACTTTACACAATTGAAAAAAAGAAAATGTAAGCAAATTTATTATAATAAAAAATTTATTAAATTTATTACATTTAGTCATTCATTCAATAATTAATTTTAAAATTCAGGCGTATTGGATAAAGATGATGATGCTAAAAACGATTTTGAATTATGGAATCCAATGGATCAAGAAAGTGATGATCATAAGTGTCTTTTGGGCGAAGAGGTTGGCTTAATGATAGTAACTTTTGTATAGGCTAATTGTCATTTAAAAACTTTTTAACATTTTAACCTCGATATTATTAGATAAAGTATTGGCGACGTAAAGCTAATAGAGAATGTCATATCGGAGATATGAAAGATGATCTAATAACAGTACAGAAAAATTGTGAATGCACCAAACACGATTTTGAGTGGTAAGTTATATACAATTTTAGTTTTTTAATTCTTTAGATTTTCAAAAAAAAATAACATATTTTTTTAGTGATATTGGTTTTTGGCGAGACGAAAACCGAAAATGTACGTTGAAAGGACCTGATCCAGAACGTCCACCTAATTGCCCTGAGGATGGGACATACACAGGACGCTCAGGTTATGTTAAGATGGAAAAATCAAAATGTAAAGGAGGTAAAAACCTTGGTGAAAAGATTGAAAGAAACTGTAAATCAGGTATGATTACTTTTTATTCTAAATATATTTTTTTTCAAATAAAATCAGACTAATTATGATTTATTTTTAAGAAAACTCTGGTATTATTTCTCAAACGGTACGTATGCTAACGTCGTATTAAATTTAAAAAGTATTTTAATAATTAATTTTATTTAACCTATAGAAAGTATTTGAAAGTCGAATTGCCAATTACTTTTATTCCAATGAATCCACCGCCATTTTGGCACGAACAATGGATCACACGATATGGAGAAGTATTGATGAAGGTTATTCATGGAACACAATCGTTATGCCTGATGTTGATGTTAAAGTAATTGCTTTGGTTCAAAATTCTTATTTCAGCAATTATGTAAGCTAATGGTTTTGATTTATCCGTTATATCTTTTTAATTATAAAAATAACTAATGTTTGTAATTTTTTTTTTTAAAAAAAAAAGGTTTATTTTATTACATCTGGAAAAAAACATTATTATACTGATGATTTTGGGAAAACTATCAAAAGTCTTGTTGTCAAAGCTGAGCCCAATGGGTATCTTGCTCCGACAATTCTTGATTTCCATCCTAGTGAGCCGGGATATTTGATTTACACGGTCGGTAAGAATTGTGAAACCTTATACTCTCCAAATTGTCATACTGAGGTAAATAATATAAATCGAATACTTTGATTTAATTGATCATTTACAGTTATAGTTTTAAAATTTTGTTTAATGTTATCTTCACAGGCATATTATACTCGGGATTTCGGTGAAAATTGGGATACACTCGATACATATGTTGGAACATGTTCATGGGCTCGTGATAAGAACTTCAACGTATCCCCAAATCTTATTTTTTGCGAGTCGTATCGTGATAAAGAAGGATCTCAATTATCATTTTTCAACAATCCACTTCAATTTGTATCTTCAACGGACTTTTTCAAAAATAAAAGGCTCCATTATCAAAATATTGTTGGATTCGCCGTTTTTGAAGAATTTATGGTTGTTGCTGAGGTTTGTACTCTCATTAAAACTTCTATTTATTTTGATGGTTTTTTTATTTACGTTTGTCTCTACTTTAATAAAGCTTATGGAAACTAGCGCAAGTCTTCGTCTTTGGGTTTCGGTTGATGCTGAAAAATTTGCGGAAGCCCAATTTCCACCAAACATGCCAATAACTCGAGAGGTTCGTTTTAATATATATATATATTTATAATTTGGAAATTTTTTTTTTTTTAAAAAGAAGGAGATTAATTTGTAACTTCTCTTTTTATTTATAGGCCTTTACTGTCTTGGAATCAATCACTCATTCTATCAATCTTCATGTCACTACTTCAGTAAAAAATAAATTTGGCAACGTCTTGAAATCCGATTCGAATGGAACTTATTATTCGTTATCATTGGAAAACGCCAATCGAGATGATCGCGGTTACGTTGATTTTGAAAAAATGCAAGGCATCCGAGGGATTGCTTTGGCAAATATCGTTAGTAACGTTAATGAAGTTATTATGGGTGATAATAAAAAGTTGAAAACTAAGATTTCATTTAATGACGGCAAGTGAAGAGATTTGTTTATATATATTCTGGTGTCATCCCATGTGATTTTATTAACAAAAAATTTATTTTCTAGGATCCATTTGGAGTTTTTTGAAACGACCAAAAGTCGATTCAGATGACAATAGATATGAATGCGATACAGATGAAAACGAGGTGAATAATAATATTGGAATACTCGCAGCAAATATTGCATTGATGTTAATAATATTTTAATTTTATTACAGAACGATACGGAAGGTCGTTGCGCTTTACACTTGCATAGCTTTACTGAACGTAGAAATCCTAGCGATTCTTTCAGTTCCTCTTCTGCTGTTGGTTTGATGATGGGCGTAGGAAATGTTGGCGAATATCTTACTTCATACTTTGACGGAGATACTTTCCTAACTAGAGATGCAGGTGTCACATGGACGGAAATTAAAAAGGGTGCTTATATGTATGAATTTGGAGACCAAGGTGGAATTTTGGTGTTGGTTGATGACGAGCGTGAAACAGACCGCGTAATGTAAGTTTTATTCATTTACAAATTCATTATTTTATTTATACTATTTAATATTTAACAATTTTTTTCGACATTAAGATATTCACTTAACGAAGGAGATTCATGGCAAGAATATAAGTTTCTTAAAAACAAAGAAAAACCGATCAGAATTATAGATATTGATATCAAGCCAGGTGGATTAAGCAGTAAATTCATATTACGTGGGATACTTCCATCCGATTATAATAAGGAAGTTATAGTGCATCTTGATTTTACAAACGCCTTTCCACGAGACTGTAAGTATATAATTATTTAATTAATTAACTATTATGTGATATCTTTACATATTCTATTGTTTGTAATTGTTAGGTAAAGACGATGATTTTGAACCTTGGTCACCAAGCCATGCAAATCATGCAAATTCAGAAGATCAATGTTTATTCGGTCGCAAGGTAATTTTTACAATGGAGATTTATTTCCTCTCATATGTAATAGTTTAACATATTCAATTGTTTTTTTTTATTATACGCGCAGATTACGTATCAGCGAAAGAAACCCGGGATAGAATGTTTCATTAAAGATATTAAACCTGTTGAAGAAGGAAGTAAATGTGAATGTAAAAGACACGATTTCGAATGGTAAGCCAATTTAATATTTTTTTTTTTTTGACTGAACAATAAAATAAGAATATTTTGAATTGATCACGAAATTTTTTTGTACTAGTGATTATAATTACATGCGTAACGCGACAGATTATTGCGTATTGGTGTCTCCTGACGCAAAACCATTAGTTCGTAGTATTTCTGAACAATGTGCTAATGGTGAAGAATTTTGGTATGAAGGGTCTGGGTAAGTGGTGGATTTAATAATAGATATATGGTTTTTTTTTTTAATTAAACTCAAACTTTATGGTTAATCTTTGCTCGCTTTTAAACTAGTTATCGTAAACTTGCAATATCCAATTGTACGGGAGGATCCGTTAATTATACTGGTGATAGTCATCGTTGCCCGGGACACCATTCCGCTTTATTCTGGATATTTGTTGTATTGTCGCCTTTCGTCATTGTTGGAATTTTGACAATTTGCTTAATTAACAAAAGACATGAACGGTTAGTTGGGTTTAGTACTCGTATTGTATCTTTTATATCACATCATTTACTAACAACTTTTTTATATTCGTTAGACATATTCGACTCGGAAGTTCTCTTGAACCTAATTCTATCCTATCGTCTATCATTGATATATTTTATCAAATCAAAATACCAAGATTTATTTCAAGATTATGGTTTAAAGTCCCATTACCGGGTCGCGGATACCGTTATTCACCTGTTGCTACAGATGATGGACATGAAGTTTTAATGGATGATTATGATCATGATATCGAGGCTTCATAATTAAATAAATCTCTTATGTACAATAATACTTCATGTAGAATTCTTGAACATTTCAATTTTTTTTAAAAAATCTTCTTCACTTTGTATTTATTTATTCTCTTTTATTTTGTACTTTCATTTATGATGAACGTTAAAAACAAATACAGTATAGTGATTCCCTTTCTATATTAAATAAATTAGAATCAAACAAAATTACAAACGCGCATCTCTATTACTGAATTTGAAAAAATAGTTATTTTTTTGTGCAACCAAAATATTTCTTCACTTAATAATTTGTGAGTGCAGAAGATGGATAGTTAAAATAGAAATCAAATTTTACCGGCCAAATATCAGGAAAGAAAAATTACCGGAATCTGAAAATTTTATCAAAAATTCCGGCTTTATCTTATATAATAAAAAAACTTGTGTAATGGTAACGCTTAGATTACCTGTATAAATAAACTGTTTAAATTGTGTAACATTATGCAAATTTCTAAAAAGGAAATTTTGTCTTCCAGTAAAATTCGAGTGAGTCTTAAATTGGACGTATAAGTTTCCTTTTTTGGATATTTGTGTATCATATTAGAATCCTCGTGCATTGCAAAAATAAAAATGTGTATTTTAAAATTATTAAATCATCTATTCAGTTATAATAAAATTAAAAGAATTTTGAAATTCTGTTTTATTGAATTTTATTTTATATAATGTATTAAAAGAAAGATTATTGATACCTGATTGTAACATTGCTTGTGTTTATATAATTCGGAAAAATATATATGGTATTATAGGTTTATTACATATTTTGAAAAACTCTAAATCCTAAAAATAAAACTGTATTAACAATATAATAATTATATATACAGTGACAAGCAAAAGGAACACAACTAGGTAATACAAATTTTTGTCAATCATTTAATTTCATGTGATTTTATACTATAATCACGAGAAATATCTTGTTTAAAAGCTTTGAACTAGAGCTACTTAATATATAAACTTTATATTACTTTAAATAAAATATTTTAAAGTTATTTTAATTAAAAAAAAAGTTGATTTATAAATTTTAACAATTTTATTATAAGTTCGATCTTATTCTTTATTATTTGAATTTTTTTAAAATTTTTTAAAAAAATTTAAAAAATTACATTTTTAAATTAAATATTAGCTATTTTTAATATAAATTTAAATATTTTTTAAAAAAATTATAAAAAAAATTATTAAATTCAAAAAAAATACCTTTATTTATTTCGATAAAAATTTAAAAGCTCACTTAACTTAATATTACCATTTAGTATATCCGCCTTTTTGTTTATATACATCTTGAATTTTTGAGGCATTGTTTGAATTTATTTGGTACAAGCATCAATTTCAATTTCATTCCAAACTGTCTTTATTTTTTCTCATAAATGTTCTTTATTTCTTATCAGTTCATCTGAGCATCGTAATCTTCTATCTAGTTCATTTCACATATGTTCGATGGGATTTAGGTCAGGTGATTGTACTGGTTAATCTAATACACATTATTTCTTTCAAGCCAATCTTTTGTCTTATAAGTCTTATGTTTCAGATCATTATCATGTTGAAAGATAATATCATTGACATCATAATTATAATATTCAAGAGTTTGTAATAAATCCTCTTCTAATATTTGACAATAAAGAGCAGCATCCATTCCACCATCAATTTTACATAAATAACCAATTTCGCAAGCTGTAAAACATCCCCATACAAAAATTCCTCCACCTCTAAACTTTACTGTTTCTTTTACATGTTGATCTTTCAAGGGTTTCCCTTCTTTTTTCCAACAATATTCCCTTCCATCTGAACCAAATAAATTAAACTTATTTTCATCTGACTATACTATTTTATACCAATCATCAAAATTCTAAGTTTTATATTTTTTTGTAAATTCTAAATATGCTTTTTTATGTCAAAGTAATAACAATAGTTTTTTTGCTTTAACTGCTGATTTTAAACCATTATTTTTAAATACTCATCATATTGTTATAGGAGAAACCTTAAGTTTATAATCCTGTTTCATTTTTTTTTGAACTTGAACTGCAGTTGAACACTCTCTACTAATAATATAACAGACAGCTCAATGCTCTTCTCGATTTATTAGAATAGGAGAACAGTCAGACTTTGGTAAGTCTTTTGTACTTTTTGTTTTTTATATTTATTATAAAGGCGTAATATAATACTACTACTAATTTTATATTGTAATACAACTTCGGATTAAGTATAAACTGCTTTATTTAACAAAGTGCAAATACGAATTCTTTGCTCTTTAGTAAGACGAACCATAATGTAAATAAAAGTTAAAGTTAAAAAGTGTGACATTTTGGACATTTTAGACATTTTGTTTTAAAAAGAAATTGCATAACCTATTATATATAAAATTGATCGATAATAATTTGTATTACATAGTTGCATTTCTTTTGCTTGTTAAATTTTAATAAATTTTAAGCATTGAACAAAAATATAACTAAAGCAGCTATAATATAAATTTTTATATATAATATGCATATATATTTAAAGTTTCAAAATTTTATATATTGAAACTTTGAATATATATGCATATTATATATGAAAATTTATATTATAGCTGCTCTAGTTATATTTTTGTTTAATGCTTAAAATTTTCGTAAGTAAGAAATTCTAACATAAATTGTTAATTTTTACAAAACTGATATTATTAATTTAATTTTTTTTTAAATAAATATATTCTTTAGGTTTAAAAGATTAAAATAAATATAAAATTACTATTTTAGCATTTATAATTAATAATTTATAAGCATTTAAATCTAAAAAAAATAGTGGTTATGTTTCTTTTGCTTGTTACTGTAGATAAATTGAATTAACATCAAAGTAATATATTATAAAATTTATTAGTAAATCAATATACAATACAATAAAGACTATAATTCATTAATGAAAATAAACTCTTTTAAAATTATTTACTATCATTAGAGTTAATAATTTTTTTCTTGCTTATATAATTTTCTACTTTTTTAATAGGCTGCTCAAGTTTATAAGATTTTTCAACAAAATAAAAATATGTTATATATTAAAAATCACTAATTTTATCATTTTTTCTAATCAGTAAGAAACTTTGTAATATTCTTCTAATACAAAATCCAAATATACAATAAAATAAAATAAACTAGATTCACATATAAATTGTGTGTAATTTTAATTTATAATAGAAGAAAATTTACATGTTATCAACGGAACAATTAACTAGTCATAATGAAGTCACGTGGATGACGCAGTATGATGATCTCTTAATCTAGAATTCTGAAAATATGGAGGATCTACGTAATCCTAAAGATCTTTCAAATACTGATGATAATTCTAATTCTACGAAATAAATGAAGTCTAAGAATATTTAATGTTATATGTATTTTTAATATTCTAAATTTTATTGTTATTTTTAATATTTTTTATAAAAAATAAAATTAAACTGAGTATATATAGTATTTATAATATCTTGCCTTTTTTTATATAATGATAAATATCAGTTCTGCAAATAAATGATAATGAATTATTTGTTAAATATAAAGTTATAGAAAAATTCATTTTATTAAATATAAAAGTATCCTAATAAAATAAAATTTAATTTAATTTTATTTTATTTTTAAATCCTTTTAATTTATTTGCCTATTTAAGTTCAAGTTTTTGAATAAAAGCTAAATTTTTACTGTAAACTTTACCTAACCAATTTTAATCATAATTAGTATTATTAAAATATAAGCTAATTATCATAGCACCTGCATGATTTAATTCTTTTATAATTATATAATTATCATATGTATTAATTTTTACTTTTTTAGTTTATCTTATGAATTTACAGTAATTACAACTGATGGTATTCTGAAAATATAAGCTAAAAGAGTATAAACAGTATATACAGTCAACTCTTGATATAGCGTACTTTTAATATAACAAATTTTTTGAATAAATATAATAAAAATACTCTTATTATAGCGAATTAGCCAATCAAATCTCTTAAAATCTTCACTATAGCCTTATAGCGAAATTGAGGTCTAGGATATAGAGTTTATTATAACAAGAGTTAACTGTATATGATTTTTTTAAAATTACTAATTTTATTATGAAATTCCTTTATTATCATCATTATTAGAATTATAGTGTTATCAAAAGATATATATCTAATCTATCTTTGCTAATATTTACAAACTTCAATTAATTTTGCAACTTTTATTTGATCTTTTATATATATAGAAGGACTATCATAATTATATGCTTTATACTATATTGTAATAATATCTGAAAAACTTGATGTATTTATTTCATAAATATTATAATAAATGTTTGATTTATTTTTTTTATGCTATAAAAATCAAATTGTTATTTTAACTAAATTTACTATAAATTAACATATTGTTTAAATGCTAATAGATATAAGTACAATTAAAAAATCAATAAAACTTTTGTAATATTCTCTAATTCTTTTTATAGTAGTTATTTTATATTGTATTTTGTTAATAACTTTTATAATAGCTTGTACTATTTCAATTAATATAGGTCAATTTTTCTATTATCTTATTAACTAAAAAGATTATACATTATCTAATCCAATTTTTAAGTCCATTAGTTTTAACTGCTTCAATAATATATTTAAGTACAAGATATCTATTAATAGTTATATAATAGAAATGATCTGACATTTCTTTCGTTATATATTTAAATAATTGCTATAATTCTATTAATTTTGTATTATTAGGTTGATTTTTTAATGAAGAAATTACCATTTTATATAACTTTTGATATCAAATTGTGTTTAGTTATTTCTAACTGAAAAATAAAACATGTAGGTATAGGTTAATCTTCTTTCAAAAGAAATTAACTCTTGATAATATCAATTTCTTTTTGGTATAGTATTTAATTGTACTAGATTACTATATTCAAAACAATATGTAGATATTATGTATCCTTTATATTTGTTACTTTTAATATATCTATATGTTTTAATATTTTTATCAAATAGATCATTATCACATAAAATTTTGTAGTTACTTATTAATGTTTTATATCATATAAATACTGCAAATGATTTAGAATAATGACTATTGCATACTAATAATAAAGAATTTAATTAAAAGTTTTATTTTTTATTTTTTTAAGATTATTTAATAATTATTTATTTTTAATAATTCTGAATGTATTTCTGTATCTAAAATTTCTTTTGCTTATTTTTAAAATTTAAGAAAGTAATATGAAGTCTTTTAGAGAAATTTGATTTTTTATATATTATATTATCTTTATATATATTTGTTTCAAAATACTACTATAGTCAATAGTTATCATTATTTTAATATAAAGTAATTAGTTTTTCAGTATCATAATAATGACAATAAACTTGACAAACACTAATTTTTTCTATTTTGAATCTTTTAATAGTTTATCAAATAATAGTATCTTTTAATTACTTTGAGTTTTTTCTTGAATATTTGGTTTATTACTTATTTTGTCTTTATATAAAGCATATAATAGTCTTTTTGTATTTTTTTTCTACAGAAGAATCATCATATACTTCTATAGTATAACTTAGCTTTATTTGCATATAAGTTTTATGTTTTATTATTATTGATTTTTCTTTCATTTTAAAATACTTTAAAATATAAAACAGAGAATGTTAGTTATAAAATTCATAAAATTTAACCAAATATATTTTATATAAAGGCATATATCACATAAATTTTATTCTTATATATAATGTATTATAAATAAAAAATTATATTAATTATATATATATATATTACATTTATTATTTATATATTATACATCATACCTATTCTATTCTTATATTATATATAACAAATCAATTTTATAAGACTAATAACTGTATACCAAAATATTTTTAATAATATAAATTGAATATACTTTAAAAGTTAAGCTACTATTATCAAAAAAGAAAATTAGTATAATAGTATAATAAATGTTAAAAATATTTAAGTTAAGTATATAACAAAAATATTAAATATATATTCAAGAATCCTATTTTTAAGTTTTTCTAAGTTTTTGTGAATTTTAAATACTTTTATTATTTAACAAATTTTTTTATGTCATAATTATTTGAATAACTTATTTAGTATAAAAAATTATTGTTTTCTCTTCTATTTTAAATCTTAAATAATATTCAAATAAACTTTTAGTAGATCTAAGTTAACAAAGAAATATAGTTAATTAAAATTCAACATAAGTTTGAGATTTATTTCTTGTGATAAAAATACAAGATAGGAGTGTATAAGATTAGCTAATTGTTAAAATTGATATGAAAGCATTTGCAAAAGTTTTTTGAATTAAATAAGATTATAAAAAAGAAAAAATATTTTATCATCAATACTTATATTTTGCTATATAATATAGTTATGATTTTAATATTATGTAATTAATTATTATATTAAACAATATTTAACACAATATCATCATCTTCTTCATTTGAAGTTTCTTTCTCTTCTTTAGATTTATCTCTAAGAAATGTTTATAGGAATAATACCTTATACATTCTTTACTTGCTATTCATATTTAGGTAATGAGATAACGAAACAGTCAATCTGATTAATTAAAAATATGCTTAATTGTAACTATAATTTAATTGGTTATATTTTTCTGATTTGAAAAATCCAGTTTAAAATTAAATAGAATCTATATTAAATTTAATGATAAATGATTCTGATCTGTGATGTTATTATATATTTATGTATAGATTAATAATATAAAAATTCTTATCCTATATTCCTAGTATAAGTTCTTATTTAGACCTAAAGAGTATAAATTTTTATTCTAGACTCCTTTAAATTTGATTGGTTCAAAAGTATGTAATATATAATTATAATATTTATATATTTGAGATCATTAAAATATTTTTTAAATAATAGTCAACTATATCTTTATATTTTTCTTATAATACAGAAGATGAACAAATGTATCTACACACTCTCCATAAAACGTGAATTAATGCTAGTAAAATTATATGACTGCAATAAAAAATCACATTTACATGATACTTAAGTGTTTATTTATATTATAAAAATAAAAGTATAACGATTTGTATTTTTTTCTTCTTTGAAAATCTAAAAAAAAAGGTAAAAACTAAAGAATTAACTGTAATGTTTTTCAAGTGAAAAACAATCTTTATATATTATCTTGACTAGCTCAAAGTTCTGATTTCAATCCAATTGAGAATCTTTGGACTGAAGTTAAGAAAATATCTGAGCTTATAAAAAACCTCTATCTAATCTTGCTGATCTTAACCAATATGTTAAAAAGGCATAGCAAGAAATTCTGAAGTATACTATCAAAAACTTAGTCAATAGTATATCACAATGAATTCAAGCTGTGATTGTGGCAAACTTAGCAACTTGTTTATTTTTTCAAGTGTAATATTAGCTTCCACAAAAGCTTTAGTTAAAACTAAGTTAATATCCTATTTTTTATTAATTTTGGTCAGATTTTTTTTCATTTATGTAATTAATTGTAAACTTTTTAAAATAATTAATGATATGTTTACAAAGTAATATAAAACATTCTATCATTTGATTCATAAAAGTCATCTTTATAATTATTGAAATTTATATGTTCTAAAGCTGTGGTTTTATTTTTTCCCATATTTTAAAAGGTTTAAAATCTTTAAGGTAAAAATTAAAGAAATTGCATTTTTAAATACTAATATGTAACTATTGCATAATTGTATGCACATTGCTTTTTGTTATAAATATATTAGATAAGAATATTAAAATTGGGCGATGTTTGTGTAATTGTATGCAGAATTATTATATAACCTGCATAATATAGTATCATGTGAAAATCTACAGATGAGGAGATACGCAAGAATAAATTTAGATTCTTTAACAAACTAATACGATCTGGTCACGTATTATAGATAATGTTATTAGACCTATTAGATTTGATTTGAAATAATAAAAGAATGCATAAAATTCATTTTTTATGTTATTAGCATTGGTATAAACCAGTATATTTGTAGTGAAAATAATTATATATTATGTTCTTTCTTGTAAGATAAAATAATGTATGTAATAGATATCACACAAAATTGATTTTGATAAAATTTCACCGATTTCAATAACTGTTTTTCAAATTAAAATGATTTTATTGTTCAAATTTTTACTTTGCTTATATTTATCAATAATCTTCAATTTATTAAATAATGTGTACACGAGTTAAAAAATTCAAATATTAATTAGTAATATGAATATATTGAAAAAAAGAGGCTAGCAGATGATAATACATAACTGTTTCGTTATCTATATCTATTTCATTCATTCTATTTATCATTGATCTAATAGAGAATTGAATGAGTTTATTTATAATCTGATAAATCATAAAATTAATTTAATGATCTATTACCTCATTTACTAAAAGATTAATAGTTGATAATATTGGCTCTTTTTCCTCAAGAAAATTCGATTCATTATATTTATTGATCTAATGAAAAATTGAATAAATATATTTATGATCTGATAAATCATAATATCAATTTAATGATCATTATCTCATTTACTGAAAGATTAATGGTTGATAATGTCAGCTTTTTTTCTTTAAAAAAATTCGATTTATTCTATTTATTAATCTAATAGAGAATTGAATGAGTTTGTTTATAATCTGATAAATCATTAAGATCAATTTAATGATTATTATCTCATTTACTGAAAGGTTAATAGTTGATAATATTCGCTCTTTTTTTTTAGAAATATCTTTTAATCTCTTATTTTCTTCTTCAAGAAAATCAACTATTTCTTTAAATTTTTCTAGATTATTCTTTAGATCTGTCATAGCGAAATGAAAAATTTTGCTATTTTCTTCTATATTAATTCTATAATTATATCTATTTTGTAACTTCTTTTCTAATTTCTTTAGATCTGCCATAGCTAAATGAAATTCTTTGCTATTTTCTTTCATATTGATTCTATAATTATGTCTATTTTGTAATTCCTTTTTCAATTTAACTATCCTAGTATGATTATACCAAATAAATCCTCTTTCAATAGCATTCACGTCAGCATTTAATATATTGCAACCTATATTTACATTGTTCTACCAGTTAGCATTATCTATCTTTTTATTATAATCATTAAATTTTGCATTAAAACTGCAATTTCATCTTTTAAAATGTAATAACTTATTAATCCTTCAATAAAACCTCTAATTAATATTCCAGAAGATCCTAAAAATGCCTAAGATTTTACACCTGATCATGCAGCTGAAATCACTTTATTTATAGCTATATTATCATCCATTGTAGATTAAAAGTATTAACTGAAATTCTAATTTTATCAAATCTGATAAATGTATAGCTATGTATAGTAGTTTTAACAGTTTATTCTATATCTATATATTTATCAAACACATTTTTTGCTCTATATATGTAATATAATTTACTAATGATGATGTATATATATAGGTAGTGAAGTCCATTTTTGATGTCTCAGAGATTTGTTGTTCTAGCTATATGTCACAACCTGTTTCACACTATGTTTCTAATATGTTATCTGTCCCATTTATGTCTCATCAATATTCCATCAATATTCTATAATAACACTGTATGTAGGCTATACCATACTTATTTTTGTTACTTCTGATTTTATCATATGTATCTTGTTAAAATTAGAAATTCAATCTTTCCATTATAAGCTTTTATTTGACTAAAGCCAACAATTATTATTTGTTATCATTTGAATTCTTCACTTATTATCAGATATATATCATTTGTCTGAATGCAGAAATATATTTCATTTTAAACTAATGACATATGATATGTCACTAATGTTATTTGTGTCATTTCATATCTGCTATAATGGAAACTTTAATCAGCTGTTTATAGTAATTTATAAAGCTATATTTGTTTATTTTGTATTATATAAGCTTAAAAATGGAAAGACAATTTATTAAAAATCATGATATTAAATGTGAATAATTCCATAACTATGAATTGTATGTTCTACTTTATTCTTCACTAACTCTTGACTATAAGTTAAAAAAAGCTAATATAAATGATATACTTTATATAAAGCGAATTTTAATTTTGCAAATAAAATAATAGATAAAATCACACTTAATTTTTATAAATAAAAAAAGATGATAATTATATAAAATGTAATACTGGAGTTTTTCTATCTATTTGTCTAATAATTTCAAATCTTTACTACTATATATAATAAATCTTCAAATTCTTGAAATACGTTTTCTTCATAACTCAATTTTTAAAACATATTAGAATACGTGATTATCAATCCAAACTGATGTATTCTTGATATTAACTGTTTGCAATTTAAAATTATCATACAGAACTGCTGGTATAACAAAATAATAGTAAATAAAATCCTTGCCTGGTGTGCCACCTAATTTATTGCAAATAAGTTTTAAATTAACCAAATTAATAGAATAATGTTTTGTAATAGTTATCTGAAAAATTTGATTTAAAGCAATAATTGAATCAACTGATAGAATTTTTTTTTTTTGGTTGATAATACTTTTATGGCTTGATCAAATAAATACTGTTTTTGTTGAACTTTAGTATATTGTTCTGTAGAGGTAAATTGACAACTGCACTTGAATCTTTATAATTAGGGTTAATATAGGAATCTAAAGCTCTAACATCAAAATATCCTCCTTTATGTAAAATTCTGTAAGTAATATACTCAAATAAGCTATTCAAAAGTAAACTATCTATACCTGTTCTAATTTGTGCAATAAGTTTTTTTCTTATACGTACTTCATATTGATCAGTCACCCTTTACTTCAAATAAGTTGATGCAAATCTTACAGTTACCTGTATATAGGATTCTTTACTATCTTGATCAAGCTAAAATTTATATGAAAAAGTTTTTTAAGTGTTTTTTCTATCACCATGATATTATCAACTTCATGATCATCATCATTCCCATTATCATTATCTTCATCATCATTATTATCGTCATAATCAATCAAAAGGTTCATATGGATATAAGCTATCTTGTAACTAATTTTATCTATTCCTACTACACTTTCACTAACATAATCAAAAATGATCTCTTTAATACATAAAATTGCTTCTTTAAGCCTATTTTGGTAAATTATGTTATTAGCATTTTCCAAAATAAATTAAGGGATTCATCTTCACCTATTAAACAAATATATAGCCTATTTTATTTTTATATTTGTATAAAGTTTCCTGCATATATTGATCTTTTTTCACTTCTATATTGACATAAACCATGATGTACTTTCACTATATTTATCAAAGTATTTATAGTGACTCTTTTTGGATGCAGATTAGAATTGTTTTAGCATTAACATTATTAGTTCCTTACTATCTACAATATACTAAATATATGGGTCTCTTAGGTATGGTTCTATATTATCACTGTTGCTTTTAGTGACATTTTTCTCATAAAAGACAATCAGTTTAACCTCATTTGCGTTATCATATACAATAATCTGATTTTGTAATATGAGCAAATAAGTAAATAGTATTTGAAATAGGTTTTTCTGATACTCAGATTCTCAGTTATTCAAATTTTATTTCTTTTAAAGACAACAACTTGCAGATCAAGATAACATTTACGAATGAACACAGTAGATGGTTCATTTTCCTTTCCTAAAAATCAAGTATTTTCAAAAAGTACAAAAAATTTACCATAAGATGCATCCTTTAAAACTTGCCAAAACATATTCAATCTATCATCTATTTTTTTACGTTTGTTAAGAGACTCTGTATAATAGATTTAAATGAATATGAGACACAAGAAACGAAATAATAAAAAATCAGTGAAAGATATTAAGTATGACATCATGGTTATAAAACTCAGACGCGCATTGGCAAGTTTGATGATAAGAAGCAGGAAAGAAAAAAAGCACAAGATTAGTGAGTATTGACAAATATGACAAAGACACTTTTGTGTGAAACATATCAGCTCTCAAAGATTCTAAGAAAAATACCAAATAATTACATTTCTCTTCATCCATATCAAAGAGAGTCAGGGCATCATTTATTTGATTTGTTAGAATAATATCAATGCTAATGTGAGAAAGTATTTTAATAAAATTCTCTTTAGGTAGCTTTTGAGTGAGGCGTTTTATCTCTTGATAGATAGCGGACATCTCTCTGTTTTTAGGAATTAGTAATACAAGTTGCACAATCTAAAGAACAGAAACGGGTTATAAGGAAAATCAATTTTCGCATAAATTGATCATTGGTTAAGGATTGATCCCAATTATAACAAAATGTTAGACACTAGGAAGTACACACGAGGATAAAAAATACTTAGTTGATAAGTTATTAGTCCAGAAGACTATATAATAGATACACAAATTTAGGCCCCAGGCTCCGATTGACTGGTATACTTATTTGTAACATATAATAGCATGACAAATAAACCTAACCCACTATACTTGTTACCCATACCTATGGGATTTGGGACAACACCCAATGCCCATTGAGTTATAACCTATGGGAGTTAGAATCGAAAAAAATCCCAAATCCCAATCCCAATCCCAATCCCAATCCTAAATCCCAAATCCCAATCCCAATCCCAATCCCAATCCTAAATCCCAAATCCCAATCCCAATCCCAATCCCAAATAAAGACGAAATTAAAAATAATAAAAAAAAATAAACGGGGAGAAGGGGGAAAGGGGATGAATAAAAAAAAATCTATATATGAAAACTACAAAAAAAAAATCTAAATTAAAAGTTGAATAAGATGAACGAAATAAAAAATAAAAAAAAATAAATTAAATAAATTAAA